ATGTACCGCGAGTGTTTTGAGGGACTTTAGTCAATCTATGCCTAGGTTCAGCGCAATTGTGGGAGATTTAAATGTGACACTTTTTCTTATACAAGCTTTTTTTGTCTAGTCAGCAACTTGTCTGTACATACCCTATATCACCCTATAGTTAGCACTGCTTATTAAGCCTCCTGTAGTTAACTGTTCAGACTGGTGCGTCTTGCTGATGAGTGAATATTACAAACATTACCACTCACAGCTCTCTTCAGCCTTCCCACATTTGCACTTTCCTGCTCTTGTCACCAGTCACAGCTGGGTTTGTGTCTGATTGATCACTTGAGTAATCCGCTTGTTTATGTGGGACTGTGTTGGGTTGTTATCACATCTTTTCCTTTTTACGTTTAGTCACGTACGCATTCTATTTTCCTTAGAGGGCCACAAGAGAAACTTTTTTTCCTTTTGTATGGCTGGTATCGGTTGCAAGATGGATATAGCGCACTGAAGCGCACCGATTGAGGCTGGTTGATAAATTATGGAATTCAGACACAAGCTTCTACTGATGTTTGAAGCAGTGATGTTATTCAGGCTCCAAATCACTGTGAAAACTACATGTAAAAGATATAAAATAAACAAAATTGTTTAAATCTTGAGGACAGCTTATTGAGAATTAAAATCACATGGGAATATCCAGAGAAATTAAAGGCCAAAGCTCCCAAGGAATCCAATAAAACAACAAGCATGACAACGAATACAATCACGAATACAACGTTTGAAGGCCAGAAACTTGGAGCTCTCCAAGAGGAGCACAAGCTACTGAACTGGCCTTTCCAGGATGGAAAAGTTTGCCTTCCCGCTTCCCTAGCCGACTCAACTTCTTTGATCCAACTTGAATCTTGACCTTTCTCATGAGGCCATCCTTATCAGTAGTAGTTCCTACTACGACGCCCATGGGCCACTCATTCCCAGCCACCTCTGGTTCTAACAATAGGACAATGTCCCCAACTTGGATGTTCCTTCTTGTTTTTATCCAGCATTGCCTCCAATTAAGGTTTTGGAGATACTCCTTCTGCCATCTGCTCCAAAACTGCTCGGTGAGGAACTGAATTCTTCTCCATCTTTTCTGAAGGTACATGTCTTGAGAAACAAAATTGCCCGGTGGTGGCAGGGGCATGCTAGACTTCATACTAAGGAGATGATTGGGCATCAGTGGTTCCAAACTCATGGGGTCATTAATGGTGTTGATTGATAGAGGACGACAACTAACTAACTATAGCCATTGCTTCATAGAACAATGTGCGATGGGAAGAATCATCTAATCTCCCCGGGCAAAGTGCCTAAGAATGCTTCTTATTGTTCTAATTTGGCATTCCCACACAGCCCCAGCATGGCTGGAACCAGGAGTGTTCATGAAGAAGTCACACTCTTGATCTGCTAGGAAGGCTGTCACCTTGTCTGTTTCAAGCTTTTTCTTGACAGCATGCAACTCATTCCTTACTCCAACGAACTTACTGCCTCGGTCAGACCATATCTGACGGACCTTTCCTCTGATGGCAATGAAACACCTAGGCCCATTGATAAAAGCATCAGTAGAGAAGTCATCTATCAACTCAAGGTGAACTGCCCTGGAACATAGACATGTAAATAAGAGCCCATATCTCTTGCACTCCTTCCTTCCTTGATTAGTGGTGAAGGGACCAAAGCAATCAATACTGCAGTGCGAGAATAGTGGAGACAATTCAACATGATCCTCTGGTAGATCCGCCATCTTCTGCTCTTGCACTGGTCTCCGGTTTCTTCGGCAGATTATGCATTTCTTTATGAGGTCTCCCCCGCTGATAATCCGGAAACCATTTGCCCTTATTTCAATGCGAGTGATGCCCAACCTTGATGGTGAACCTTCTCCTGATTAAACCACAATGATTTCAGAGATGTAGCTGTCCTTGGGCAATATAACTGGATGTTTGGCCGAAAGTGGGAGCGATGAGTTTCTTAGGCGACCTCCAATGCGCAGAATCCCAAGGTCATTATAGGGTCTAAATCCCTTTGAGGGGGTTTCTCCATGAACTCAATCTCCTGAACTATTTTAATCAAGAAGGAGATTGCCTCCAGTCGCTCTTGAACATTGGTCAGACGAGTGTAGGCGATGCCCTTCACTACTCTTAAGTCTTGCAACAGCTCGCACAAGCAAAGACCAGCTGGAGAACCTTGACAGCCTTGACAAAATGCTGGTATCACTCAACTCGGTCACTCCAGTGCTTAGGACTACCAACTTCTTCACTTCTGGGGCCTCAAGGGACAACTCATGTGCCTCTCCAGGAAAACACTCAAAATTAGGTCGCCATAAAAACTCTGGGCCCGTGTACCAGGTAGACTCCTAAGGAGAGATGCGGTGAGCCCTCTCGAAGAGTGGTCAGCGTGATTGGAGCTGGACTCAACGTAATCGATCGGTCCTTACTGCATACGGTTGATTTCCTTGACCAGCCACTGTTTCCCTGGGAGTAAGAGCTTCAGGGCAGTCGAATCCTATCAACATACCGATCTAACAATCTTGAATGGGTGGGAGTCTGCTGGCAATTTTCTTGAGATGCGGCCGTCTCAAGGCTGTCTCTGAGGTGGGAATAAGTGATCTTTCTGCGGGGATGAGATCCGTGGTGTGCAACTTTGGAAAGGTGATGACCTTCTCAGAGTGCGTCCCTATAACTGTAATATCCTTAAGGAAAGTGCAGTCTGAGAGTGTAGAATTTGACGTCATTGTTGCCAACTTCAACTGGACTGGAGCGCAGAAAGGCACCTTGAATCATTTTTGCTGCTGCTCCAGAAGTTTATTTCCAGAGATAGAATAACTTATTCGCAGCTACAATGTTTCGCTGTGCAATCATTGTGGTAAAGGCATTGTTCCACTCGGGAAACTGCATTGGGTCTCCACTGAAGGTACTTAGTTCAAGTACTGGCAGTCTCCCCAGGGAAAGACTATCTTGAAAGACCTTCAACATAGTGGTCATGTCACTATGAGATTCTTTTAATGCAAAGGAAGTTGCGACATCTGAACTAGAGGTATCAAGGGAGAGGTGAAATGCATCACTTTCTGTCTCGCTATGGGCTCTCTGTTTTAGTTCTTCATTTTCGTAAACCTTAAGTCGAGTGGCAGCGACCATCACTTCTTTCTCAGCTTTCATTCTTTCAAGCCTATCTTCTTCCTTTATCTTTCTTTTGAATTCTTCCTGGATCTGGTTCAGCTTATGACACTGTGTTTGGATTTGCTGCATGGACTGAAGTTCCACCTTTCTTGCAGCTAATTCTGCCGCCGCCTCTGTCTTACCGGAAATACCTGACCGATTGGATTCTGGTAAAGCCTGGGTCTCTGTGACGCTTCCGAAGACAGATGGATATTTCCCTTTGTCCAGTCCCGAGGAGACGTAGAACAGTGCAGTCTCCGGATTAAATTCCTTGACATCTTCAAGTCGTTGCCTCACCAGCGCCTCTATGTCTTCTGAAACCTGAGAAGTGCAGTCAACTTGACAAAGAATATCTGGGTTCGGCGTTTGAAGTTTCCGCAGGTCTTGGTAATTGTGCAAGATGACTTGGAGGCAATCTTGGATCTTATGCAGCTGATACGAAGCTCCAGTTCTTCTTTGGGCTGAAAACACTCAGGCACTCTCTGGTTGATTTGGCTTCTGCCTTCCACCTGGAATAGGCATCGTTGTATCTTCGTTCCTTGTCTTGTATGGCCTGTTCCAGGTTTGTTTGAGCCTTCTCGGTAGGTTTCCTTTCTCTTCTGCTGCGCCGCAGCCCTTGATCCGAAACAGCACCAGTTTCCTGCTTCTCTGTTTCTGTGGTTGACATGATTCTAACTAATCACTTACTACCAAACTACTATTCAACAAGTGAAAGGCAATTATTACACGAGTTAGAATGTGCTTTGTCAGATACCCCTTTTTCTTGTTTCTTAATCAATGAACATGTAATAGCTACGCACTTCTACAAAGGGAACAATTTCTACAATGTACATGTGAGCTTATGTCTTATACTGGCATACATAAACAAAGAAGCCACTTAGACATAAACTGTGTAGCCTAACTCTATCAGTACGAACAATATTATTCCCATACATGTATGTCTAAAGAGCAGAAAGGGTCAAACAAACATTGCCATATTTCA